GGGGAAGGACACATATGTAATACCCTTTGTAATACTTTAAGCGAAAAATAAAAAATAAAAAATAAAAAATAAAAATAAATAAATAAATAAATAAATAAATAAAAAATAAAAGAAGCTGTTAAAAAAAAAAAAAAGGTTGTTCGGGAGAAAGGGGAAAGTTGTTCCAGAACGTCCAGGGAAAACCTTTATCACCTGTCTTCCATGTAATCGCCCAGGTGGTCGCCCAGAACGCTTGACTATGATGTATGTATTTTGTTAGCTTAGTCCTTGAGTCCCACCTTTTGCTCTTTATTGATCTTAAGCTCTGCGTTTTGAAAACTAGTTGGAGTACACAGGAGTGTGGAAATTTGGTTAAATTGATACTTATTTTTTTTTCCTCAACAGTGGAAAGCAGAAAAATTAAGAGGAAGAATCGTGCTTTGGAAAAACTGCCTGGTTCTTCAGCGGAACAGTTTTCTGGGGATCTCTGGATCCACCGAAGCCAAAAAGCAAGGGCTAATTTTCTCCAGTGAATCAGGTTTCCTCATGAATCTCCCACTTTGAGAGATGGATGGGACGAGGGACCTATGTTTATCCTTGCAGCTTTCTGCTCATCTTATGAAGTATTTTACATAGTATTTACTGCTATTTATTAGCTGCTATTTTATTTCTTATGCTATTGAAATATTTGTCAATTGACTAAATAGTGAATCCAGAATCACTGGTTGTTACTCTTTCAAGGTGACTGGTTTATTTCTAGAACATGTTCCTGAGAACATTATTGAAAAGGCTGTAGATTCAATAGGTGAATGATCTTTCGTTGGAATGCTATATATGAAGATAATCTGTAATCCCCAGTCTTCTCGTGAAATTGTAACTATTTAGTACCATTTTTTGAAATGAGAGAATTTCCTTACTCTTTATCCTGGGATCCTATTTCAATTATATTGCATTAGAAAGCTGGACACATCATACAGCTATCAGTATAGAATATATTTCCTTATTTAGAATTTCTAAATTTTTAAATTCTATAAGGATTAATATATTATTTTCCTATAACTTTAGACATTTGATGTCTTCTTAGTATGGCATAATGTCATGACTTACTCATTAATCTTTGACTTTTATATTGTATTTATTAACTATTTTATTATGAGTACTATAATTTTAATCACTAAATATTTGCTTTGGATGAAGAAACTAGGAAATAGGTAAATTCCTTATTGCTAGTTTCTTTATAAATACATTGTTTTAGTATTCTTAAGAATAAGACAAACTTAATAGTCTGTACTCTGAAATTTTTGAAAATATATCTGAGCTAGTTGAATATAAACTCATCAGTTAGTTTTCAAAAAATACACAGCACTGCTAAGATTTGTAATGCTTATGTTGTATCTTTTAAGGGTTTGACAATTTTGTTATAAAGAATTATAGATGCATCACATTTACTATGTTAAAATTGTACTTTTTAACTGTGTGTCTCATTGGTTTATAGAACCTTTTTATTCTTTGGAAAAAAATAAAAGATTTAAAAACTTTACTCATGTTGTTTCTTCTTTCTTATAGTGTTAAAAAAATTGTGTTTTTCTGTAATTCTACCTTATTTTGAAAATTATGCTGCTCTCTGGCTATCAGAAAGAACCCTTATTTCCCAATGCATTGCATTTGTTCAGCCTTTCCAGTTACCCCTTCATAGTACCATAGCCTGTTGGTTCCTTAGAAAACACAAGTTTCCCTACCTTAAATCCTCAACTGGCTTCCTATTTCCTAGGCATGAAATAGAAGTTTAGAAGGATGGCAAATTATGTTCAGTCTCATCCAACTCCTGGTTACTCCTTCAGCTTCACTTTTCCTTCCCATCTTTGCAGTCAAGTGTTTAGTTTTTGCCTGGATCCGTGCGTTTGCATTTGCTAGGGCTCCAGCTAGAAGTAGCTTTCATCTTCTGCCTCTAGGAGGAAGCTTACCCATCCTTCTGCACTCAGCTCAAGCAATACCTCCACAAAGTTTTCCTTGACACTCCCAGCAGAATTCATGGTTTCTATTTTGATGTTTCCATAGCATCTTCTAGATATTTGAATTTATTTTAATAGTGAATATTGCATTGTTTTCCCTTGTTTAGAAGTTTCCTTACCCTACTCTACTAAGGGCTCTCCCGGAACATCAACCATATTTCATTTCCCTCTGCATCTCCCATACCTGACATAGATTGGTTTAGTGAATTAATAAATTATCCAGAACCTCGGGTTGCCACTGTCCTAAAATCAATAACTTGGATCATGCTAAATGTTAAATAAATTTAATTCCTTTACCCTCTTTTCTCCTTCTAGTCTATAAGCAATCCAACAAGACCTTGACACATGCAGCCCCTCAACATATAGTACCTACCTCTCCTTTTTACCTGGCTAAGTCCATCCCTTCCTTTGAGGGCAGTTCACCTGTCATTTAGGGCTTCTCTGACCCTTTCCTTCACCACATTAATGCTCTTTTTATATTCTCTCATAAAACTTTGTTCTTTTCCTTTATAAAATTCTGTCACAAACATGACTATAGAGTCTACTGAGACTATATATATATGTGATTATTCATTTAGTGTTTATTCCAACTTCACTATATGCTCCATCAGGTCACAGACAAATGTTTATCATGTTTATCTCAGTTCCTAGGGCAGTGGCTAGCTCATAGTAGGTGCTCAAACAGATGTACTAATAAGTCCCACTGTCTTTCTAGTATTAAAATAGCAATTTTATGTAAATAGCTCATTCTCAGGAAAATCACAAAAACAACCAAAAAAGGACTAATCCAATTAGTATGGCGATATCCACTCCCCCCCAATTGAATTACTATAGTATACTAGAGGCCTGGTGCACGAAATTCATGCACTGGGGTAGGGGGTCCCTCAGCCTGGCTGGTGCCTCTCGCAGCCTGGGAGCCCCACCATCAATTGCCCCAAAGAGGTAGGCCCTGCCCACTCAGCTGGGGCTCTGCAATGGATGGCCCCCACAGAGGGAGGCCCCACCCACCCACCATAGCGCTGCCATGGGCCTCCCTCTTTGGGGCAATTGTGGAGCCCCCCGATTGATCGTCCTGCTGGTAGGTGGCCTGGGCCTCCCTCTGTGGGGTGATCATGGGGCAATGGCTGGGCCCCTGATCAATTGCATCGCACCCACCTTGGCTGGCCTGGCGCCAGTGGGTGTCATAACATGGTCGTCCGGATGGTTGTTCCGCTATTCAGCCGTTCATCTGATTTGCATATTATGCTTTTATAGATATATTATAGATATATTATAGATATGCTTATATTGGCATGTTTTTGTATATATTAGTATATGCTAATATGTCACTAGCATATTAAACTATATGTAACCTGTTATTCTACAGCTTTTTATCTTCTTATACATAAAATATCAATTAGATTAATATATTTTCTTTTATTATTTATTAGCATATATATGTATATATAATATACACAGAGAGAAAGAAACAGAGATAGACACAAAGATATGAAAAAACCTAAAGTGAATTCAAAGAGATGGGTTTACTGACAACTTTTTCAGCAATATATAAAGCATAAAAATACCTCAAATTTTAAATATATATCTTAAACTTCTAAGGTCTCTCTTTGCTATCTGAAATAGTACCTTTTTCTCATTTGAAACTATGAATTATACACTATCATGGAGAAACACCAAAAAAAACTAAATTACCATAAATATTAAAACTATAAATTTCAATGTTTTAAACAATGCCTGATTTTGCATATCAACCACAACATACTCATCAAATAAGTGCCTGATCATAATGAAAGCATATTAAACTCCCTTTGGTTAAGGTGGGTGAAATATGTATTTTGCAAATTAATAAACATCACTGGTTTACTTTTCTTTATTATTATTCAAGGTCCTTATTTTTCCTAAAAGTCAGATTTATAAGTTTAGTTTGTTTATAAACCGTACTAGAGACCTGGTGCATGAAATTTGGGCATGGGTGAGGTCCCTAGGCCTGGCTGAGCATCTGGTATGGAAGGGCAGGTCCCAGCTGACTTTTGGGCCCTGGGCAGCACCTGGGTTCCTGGGGTCCCCATGTGCCCCCCTTTGCCTGAGTCACCAGGCCCCTGCCACTAGTTGCCATCTGTGGGGCAATTGGGCCATGCTTGCACCCACCTTGGTCTGGCACCACCCACTCACCTGCTGCACCATCCTGCCGCAGTCCCACTCTTGTTGGGGCCCATCAGGGCCGTCAGTGCCTCCACTGCTCCCGCTGCCAGCGCCGTTGTTACTGATGCCCACTATGTTCCATGCTGCCCCCTGGTGGTCAGCATACATCACAAAAAGCAGTCAAACTCCTGGTCGAGGGGACAATTTGCATATTCGGCTTTTATTATATAAGATAATAAAACCTATTTGTAATATCCTTGTAATTCTATTTGTCATGCTCATGCTGTAATTGGTCATTCCATAAAGAAAACAAATTACAGCCTTGAAGGTGTGCTCAGTGGTTGAGCCTCAATCTATGAGACTTATGAACCAGGAGGGTAAGGGTTCAATTTCTGGTCGGGCACATGCCTGGATTGTGGGCTCAATCCCCAGTGTGAGGCATACAGGAGGCAGCCAATCCATGATTCTCTCTCATCAGTGATGTTTCTAACTCTCTCTCCCTCTCCCTTCCTCCTGAAATCAATAAAAATATATTTTAAAAATAAGAAAATAAGTTACAATATATTACCGAAGTGTAACCTATACAAAAACCTTAAGGACAGTTAATACCAATTTTTTATCCTATCACTAAAAAACTCAAGGACTAATGTATCTGGGAAAAATTAATCTAATGTTTGACTTCTAGGAATATGCCTTAATATTTTCCTTATACAAAATACAATTTTCACTCTATTATCCACATAAAATACTCCCTAGTATATTAAGTCACTGGGAATTGAGTGTCAACTAAAATCTACTCTATGTTACTGCTCCAGTCTAGACAATTTCAATGTGTAATTAATGCCTTTCATTCTACCAGATTTTCCTGCTTGCCTCTGGGTGTGACCCATTTACATTATCCTTCAATTACTGAAGGTATGACAAGACCTATGATAAATATGACTGGTGGCTTTGTTTTTCTATGATGGTTTTAATTCTTGTATAAGGAAAAGAATTGCTGTAGGTAAATCATATTGTACATAACTTGAAAAGTCCTTCCTGGATGTTACAATTGAGAAATTTACCAGACAGAAGGAGCACCTGGGGATTTCAATTTGCCTCCCTGACTAAATCACGGAAAACAAGGGAAGTGCACATGATGCTGATTTTGGCTGATGGTCATGGGTGACTTTTAGTCAGCAAAAGTAATATTCTATTCCTCAGAAGGATTGTTCATACTTCAAATATGTAGAGTAAAATAATATCACAGAAAGACCTAGCATTTAGGTATGAAATTTTGTTTCTGCAAAGTGTAGAGTCCTGTTTCTTAAATATTGAGAATTTGCAAAATCACTCCCAACACTGGAAAATCTATGTTCTTAATGGATGTGTTTCCACTGCCACATAAGTGTGTATGATGGTCACAGTGGGGAATTGTAACCCACTCCACCATTCTTTTGACATTGCTTCTATAAATGCTGACTGACTAATAAGTAGCTTGTAGATAAACCATATGTTTGTATAAGAATCCTAGGAACTAACTTCAGAAAATGTAGACTCAAACCTTCAGTCATTCCCAGTTTGGGGGGATTTGCTGACCTTCAACCAGAGAACCAGGATGACTTGGAACCAGGATGATGAAGACCAGGAGGATGCACATCAGACCATCACTTGACCAGTTTCAAGGTCTTTTTCAGAATAAGCTGTGCTAGCTTTCACATGAACTCTTCAACCCTTCCCTTTGACCTTTGTGTTTTGCTTTACCTTTCCTTCCATATAAAAACCTCTGCCTAAACTGAAAAGTGGAGATGGGCTTTGGACAAGAGTTCCCCATCTTCTGGAGATGTGGGCACTAAAATAAACCTCTTTCCTCTTCTCACCAGCCCCTTGACTCTTGAGTTTGACCTTCGTGGCAGCTGACAGCTGAACCTGGGTTTTGGTTACATGATGATTGTTTTTGACCCACCTCTACAGTTGGATCAAAAGAGAAGTAGTTGATTCATTTTCAGCAAGAGAGGCCAGTGATATTTCTTTATATTTTGTGGTGCAGTACAAAGAGCAATTGTGTTTCAAATATAGTTTTGAGTATTTTCAGTGATGCAACTTTGGCAATTTATTTGACATCCTCATACCTCAGTTTTCTCATCTATAAAATCAGGACAATTATATCTGTCTCTCAGGCACAAAGGAGATGCTTAATAAATATTAATTCCTTTCTCAAGTCTCATAATTCAAACTCCCCTTGACAAATGAAAAGACTGAGAGCTCAATAGTTTATTTTTTCCAGATTTATCCATAGTCTTTTCACCTATGCATAAATGATTAATTTTTAGTGCTTCTAAG